CCCATAAACTTTTCTTGCTGGTCTTCTCTCTCTATTAATGCATGGGCTACATTCCAGTATTTGTGAATGCATAGGACACATTCCAAGCTCATCATTGGTTAGTTGTATACATATGTGTCAAAACCTTTAATAGTAATTCTGCTAACTGTGTCTCTGTATTTAATTTTGTGGCTTGCTAATCAAACATACACACACTTACCTTTTTTTTCTCTCTTTCATTTGCAATATTTTTTTTGGTTCGGCAACCCCATGCTTTGCCATGCAGAAATCTGCAACTGACTAATCATCCTCTAATTTACAGCAATTTTGGTATAATAGAAAAGAATTAGTTTCAACCAAACTATTAAATAGTTCCAAATTGATAAATGTAAATCTTCATCCACTTTTCATGAGATAACATACAAGATAACAAAATTTCAAGAAATTGTTAAGTACTTGAAGCACACAAAAAAAAGAACTCATATCCTATCGTGCTTCCATTATAGAAATTGTCAAATTATTTAGTGAACAATCTTTCGACGTGCCCTCATTTGAAGTCATCGTGAATAATCAAGCAATGTATTCACTGTATGTGTATATATAGATACTAGGATTCTATGCACACACAAAAAAATGTATAATAATCTTGCTTGGGTGATTTAAGGATAGTTCAAACCCTAAAAGACAATCAATTAGATGTTTAAATTACAAGATTATTATGCTAAAAATTATTACAGAGAATGATAAGATTAGTGGTTGGCATTTGAAGGTGTAAGATGAAAATAGCAAAGATACACAGAAGAAGAGATTGAGAGATTACAAATATGACAGTTGGAATGTTTGCATAGAAGAAGGTAAAGGGTGAGGTGAGAGATGAACACACATAGATGGACATGAGTGATGACCCATCACTACTGATTATCCTATATATAATGCACAGGACTCCCAGATTTGAGACACACCAATAGACCTTCTTGAGGCTCCTTTAGCTTTACCATTCTATGTCAATAACTCAATTTTTTGTTTAATGTTTTTTAATTTCCCAACAGTGGCTTCAAGACCCATCGTTCAACACCAACATAGAGGTATTTTACATTGTCTCTTGAATTTCCCTTTCTCTGCTCTTGATCGTTGTTGTTGGTTGATTATGTTGTTTGGATTTGTTGGTTGATAATATTTTGTATTACTTTTAAGATTTCATGTACAGAACACAGTGTTTCCCTTTTGCAATAGTCAGCTTTCTATTTGACATGTAACTTTATAGAGATATGTCCAATTTTGGAGTTAATAATAATATATTTTGGAGTTGAGCCCATCTCAATCTCAATTAAATAGTGGACGTTTTATTTCTAGGCTTTTAAGTCTGTAGAAAATTTGCCAAAAATTTACCAAATAGGTTTTTGTTTTCAAGCTTCTTTTTTTCTCCTTCCTTGAAAGTTCAAACATTGAATTTGGATGTGCTTTGATTGTTGGAAAACTTTGTTCTTTACCTGCTTGCAAAACTTTTTGCTTTATTGTTGACTGTAAATAAAAGAACAGAACAACAACTTAAAGATCGCATAAAAACGTAATTAAACTAAAATAAAGCTATTTGGGCCTTAATTGAATTTCATTTGAAAACTTGCCTATGTTCTTATAAAGTTTAATTTCAAATCCCTTCATTTGATTAGAAACTCCCACAGCTTCTGTGAACTTAGATAGATATTTTTGAGTTTGTTTCATGGTAGGTCACCAAAGTTCAACAATGGTTGTTTGCCTATGCCATTTTCTTGGTTTAGAAACAAGAATTTTCAGGTTGAAAGCATAATTTCATCTCTCTAATTGATAATTGATTATTTAATTAATTGTGTTGGGATTACAATTATATTCTAATCTCAACATTATTTACACCGTTCCTTCAGACACGAGTATACGCTAGTTACAAATATATCTTCTAATATTTACTTAAAATATAGATTGTGTCTTTTAATTTAAAAAATTCACAGAATTAATTAAAAAAAATTCATAATTGCTCTCTTATAGAATAATAAAATTATCTAAATTATTAATTAAAACATATTTATAACATTATTAAAAATTATTAATTGACTTAATGATTTATTAATAATCAAAAGAACGATTTGTTTACCGTCTTCACCGTGTAACTTGCCATGTGGCAAGGAACACTTCACCTCTTCGGACCCATCCCAAAAGATGTTTGGGGCCCACTCAATTTTGGGCTCAAAGTTGGCCCAAAATATGCCTATATTAACCATTTTTCCAACATGAACACAATAAAAATACTTTTTATTTTTATTTTTTTGGTCATGTGTCATGTGTTAATGATGAAATAAAAAAAATCATACATACAAATTCATTTGATGAATGAATGTGTTAATAGTTAGGATTTGTATAGTCAAGTTAGACAACTATGGCTTTATAGAACAACATTTTCTGTTGCCATCTTTTAAAGTCAGTTCCTGAGAACTTCTTTGGCTTTTCACCGTGATTTACCGGTACTGTTACAACAGG